GAGGCTGTGTTTTAGAGCAGTTTGTCCTTCTGAGTGTGCGTTTTTTTTGCGAACGCTGTCACGCTGAAAGCTCGTTAGCCGCCACCTCGCTCTGGGCAGAAATAGCCACTTTACCTGAAGAAAAAGTGGGCGTCGTCTAAGTCTGTCTGAGAAATACCGGCCTCCTGGTTGGTTCGGTCTGTTTATATGCCAAGGACCTTAGAAAGGTTGGTCAGAATGAACTGGAAGCCAATTAAAAATGCACCCCACTGAAGACCCCCAGTAGCTTTCCTTTGTTCAGGGAGGCTGTCACTCTGTCCTCTCTGTGTTTGGAATTAACTGTGTTTTCTGTCTTCAAACATCTGTTACGGGGAGATGAGGAACAATTTGATCCAGAAACATTTCCAGCCTTTTGTTTTTAGTGGATGGGACTCTCTAAAAGTGTAGTTTTGCACTCGTGGTAACTCCGAGGCCTCAATAACACATTTATTTTTAATATAAAAAGAAAATAATTGGGTTAATGATAAAAAAATCATAGGGTTTGTAGCTTAATTTAAAAAACGATCATCCCATGGAGACATTAATAGCTCTCCAATGCCAGTAGGAGGTGTCCTACTGCTCTTCCCAGCAGATGGATGTGATCTGGCCAGCTGTAGGCTGCTGGATAACCTTTGTACTGGTCAGGATTAGACCTCTGCTGATCCCACAGTCAGAAGTGGTTCCCTAAAGCTCAAACGACACCTTTAAACTCAATCGATGATCTCTGAAAGCCACAGCAATGTGTTTTTTTGGTTTCTTTCCTTCTTAAAAGCAACAAAATCAACCAGTAATGCCACCTCGGGCTCCCCCCTGCTCCTAACCCTCCTCCTCCATTTCCATCTTCTCACTCAGGCCTGCCTCCTCTTTATGCCCCCCCCCTCCTGTGACTGATGGTGGCTGTGTGATATGATGTATGAGGGTGGGAGTCGCTCTGAGAGGCGGAGGGCGGCGAGGTGGAGGCTTCATGGTCCTCAGATCCAGAAGGTTAATGGCATCAGTGGGGGGGTTCCCAGCTCTCTGTGCAATTCATCAGGTGCAAACGTCTGTGTGTGTGTGTGTGTGTGTGTGTGCGCTAACTAGGTGTAGTTTCTGTTCATTAGCAAGAAAAAACCTTCTGGAAGGGGGTTTCTGTCGAGTACTTTGTCCATGGTGAGAAGGTGGGAGCTCTGAGTGGAGG